TGGGATATCCACAACTTTATTTCCAACCTTAATTGCCATTAAATTCACATAATAGAGTGATGATCTTCTTGGATTTTTAAGCAACTGTGTATATTTGATGTTCTTGGGCTGACCGATGGGTCCCAATCTTAGTGATCCACTGAAACTGGTGGATTTGTAGCTGGGCAAGCAGTACGAGAATGTGGACTTGTACAGACTATCTGTTTGAGACAATAGAGAAAGTGGGCCTCGGCCCAACCCCAATAAACCCTGTGCCGGCAAGGAGCTGCCTGTGGCAGTTTGAATGCAGCCGAAGGCGTAGCTTGGGACGGGGTCGGTAGCCAGGATGAGGGTATCCTGCACGAGGTTGGCGGAAAAGGTGGAGCTACCATAAGTCTTGTTGAAGCCACATGTGGTGCCTAAACATGTCGGATTGGGTACCTGAATAAGATTTAGTAATGTCTTAAAATACCATATTGTCAACGGCTAGCGAGTTTGAAAGCTGTAATCCAATTAGTTTTCGAGTCAATTTCCAACAACATCCGTGCGGGGCCAGTTTTCAACACAGTGGATTTTAGTGTTTATTCACGGGTCGCACTTTGTGTCCGAAAAAGATAAAAACAGTGCACAAGCATGTCATATACTACATGGCGGCAAATCAGCGCGTGAATATGTCAAGAATGTCGGTATATACCTGCTTGCACTGGTCTGCACTGCAATCCACGCTCTTAAAAGTGGTAGAATTCGCCGAATCAAACACTGGGACGGTGGAGGAGCAGCCTACGCAGCCAGTGCATGGAACCCAAGCAGCATCATTGCTGGTGTCGACAGCCAAGAGCAGGATCTGAGGAGGGGTTCCAATTTTGGCCCTGACAATGTAGGTTGGGTTCTGAGTAATCGTCCTTCCGGACGCAATAGGGACAATGGACTTGCGAGCAACCAGGCTGGACAAGTACTGGAGCCTGGCTTTGTCCTTGGATTGCATCTGGAGGACAGCGTCTTGCCATGAGAGTGGTGTTTTAGGCCTGAATGGGGAACATGGACTATTAACATTGATGACTTGGAGGGTTGAGCCCTGGTCTTGAATATTGCAGCTGGGGCTGAGCCCTTGAACCAGGGGGATGAAGAGAATGGCTAAGGACAGCAGAAGGGCCCTCATGGCTAGCTACTGATTGTTTATAGGAAGTGAGCGAAGTGAATATTTATAGGGGAGGGGGAGTGTTATGGTCCTGTCAAATCTATTGTTCTAAAAATTTAGGTTGGTGCATGTAATTTTGGTTATAGATTTTATTTTACGCGTTGAACATAGGGATTGGAATGGAGTGGATTCCATTAATTTCTTTTTTCTTTTTTTTGGTTGTTTGGTAGGGTAGCAACTTATTGGTTTTTGGCAGGCTCTCGTGCCTCTGTCCCACTCATCACGGAGTTAATACTATTACTGACTAAGACTTGCTAAACATTTTTAGAGTCCAATGAAATTCTACACATAATGTTTTTAATAAAAAGATAAAATTAAAAGTGGGTGTAAAAGAAATTTTGAAAATAAAAGTCAATCGTCTTTTTTTTTTTTTTTTTTTAAATCGGTAAATATCATTGATAAAAAAAA